TCATACGCTGCTCATGCCTAGTCATTAATGCATCTCTACGTGTCTCTACGAGTCTCTGTCGATCTTCTTGGGTTGACTATGTGGGTCCATCAGTTAGGTTTGCATGGTCACGATCACACTCCTATGCCTAGTTATTCATGTATCTCTGTGGGTATGTTTATGAGTCTGCGTGTCTCTGCGTGTTTATAGGTATCCCCTGTGTATCGTCTCTGTGTATCTCTATGTGTGTCTCTTGGTGTCTGTATCTCTACATGTCTCTACGTATCCCCTCTGTATTTTCCTTGTGTTTATTGCTCTCCGGGTCTCTGTATCCACATGAAGTAGGGAATATTGCCCTGAAACGTCGCCTACTACATATTCAACCTCTTAAAAGGACCACGTACACACAAAGTGTTGTCGTTACGGGGAAATGGTTTAGTTTTTAAAATGATTAATATTCTTATTATTATTCTTGACTGCTTGTGCTGCACCACTGGCGAAACCAGCAGCAGTGACGATTGTCCGAACCGGTCCTGGGCCTCCCCTAGGTCGACTCAGCCTCACAACGAGTACCCGGCACGGTGTAAACGTAAGCACTGGGAGAGACAAAGGCGGCCGGGCGTGGCGCTTGCCACCCGCCCCCTCGCTCGTGCGACCGTGCCGGCCTTTGTAGGTGCTGCTGCTCGCTAACAGCACTTGCCCCGACGGTCTGTTACAGGCTACACGGGGGGTCTTTGTCTTTGCACTGCCATAGAGGAGACGGGAGAGCCGCGTAGGCGATGCAAAGCACACTGCTTCACTGGTGTTGTACAACGCTTGTTCTCTTGATTATCTCATTAACAGCATCATAGCAAGGACCCCCTTCTATGAGTCTTCATCCAAATACAGCCGCCCTTCCAGGTGATTATAGCCTGCAGCAGCATCGTCGGCAACGGCGTGGGCGTGTGTGTGTGTGTGTGCGTTGAACTGACCTCCTGCCAGCGGGCGCTCGACACTTCACGTGGCCTCAAGGTGCACATGGCCTGGCACAAGGGTCGCGGTGACGTCACCGCCACTTAGTGGCGAATGGCGGCGGTTGTTGTTGTTGTTGAACTTATTTCGCGCCATACGTGGCCAATCGTGCTGATCGTAGGCGCGGTGGGAAGGACTGCGCACGAAACACAAATAGGCAGCTCTAAAGAAACGAGTTTGCCAATCTAGATGATGATGATGATGACTTGAAAATGGACGGATCCGGAGCCGTCCTAATATCGGAAGGAAGGGCGCGTTCCAGACGGCCTCAGAGGCAGCGCGACGACGATGCGGTGACCACCATCTCTGTTTGATGGCTTGCTCTAAAAGCCGCCGCCGCTGCTGCTGCCGCGATGATGACCGGAGTTCGTGTGACGATGGTTTGCTCTCCTTGACGAGTTCGGCGAGCTGTTGCCGTTCATTTGTGGCAAGCACTTTGCATCATCAGCAGCAGCAGCAGCAGTAACAGCATCATCATCGTTAACAGTGTTATCATCAGCCACAGCATCATCATCAGAAACAGCATTATCATCGGTAACATCATTAGCAGGAGCAGCAGCAGCAGTATCATCATCATTAGTAACAGCATCATCAGTAACAGCGTCATCATCCTTAACAGCATCATCATCCTTAACAGCATCATCATCAACAACAGTATCATCATCAGGAACAGTGTCATCATCAGCAACACCATCATCATCAGTAACAGCATCATCAGAAACAGCATTATCATCCTTAACAGCATGATCATCAGCAACAGTATCATCATCAGGAACAGCATCATCAGGAACAGTGTCATCATCAGGAACACCATCATCATCATCAGTAACAGCATCATCATCAGAAACATCATTATCATCCTTAACAGCATCAGCAACAGCATCATCAGCAACAGCAGCATCATCAGTCACAGTATCATCATCAGTAACAGTATCATCATCAGCAACAGTATCATCATCAGAAACAGCATCATCAGGAACAGCATCATCATCAGCAACAGTATCATCAGTAACAGTATCATCAGGAACAGCATCATCAGGAACAGCAACATTAGCAGCAACATCATCAGTAACAGCATCATCATCAGCAACAGCAGCATCATCAGGAACAGTGTCATCAGTAACAGCGTCATCATCCATAACAGCATCATCATCTGTAACAGCATCATCATCAATAACAGCAGCATCATCCTTAAAAGCATCATCAGTAAGCATCATCATCAGTAACAGCATCATCATTCGTAACAGCTTCATCATTCGTAACAGCATCATCATCAGTAACAGCATCATCACCCTTAACAGCATCATCATCAGTAAGCATCATCATCAGTAACAGCATCATCATCCGTAACAGCATCATCATCATTAACAGCATCATCATCCTTAAAAGCATCATCAGTAACACCATCATCATCAGTAACAGCGTCATCATCCGTAACACCATCATCATCAGTAGCAGCAACATAATCAGAAACAGCATCATCATCAGCAACAGTATCATCAGGAACAGCATCAGCAACAGTATCATCAGTAAGAGTATCACCAGTAACAGTATCATCATCAGGAACAGCATCATCAGGATCAGCAAAATTAGCAGCAACATCATCAGTAACAGCATCATCATCAGCAACAGCAGCATCATCAGGAACAGTGTCATCAGTAACAGCGTCATCATCCATAACAGCATCATCATCCGTAACAGCATCATCATCAGTAACAGCAGCATCATCCTTAAAAGCATCATCATCAGTAAGCATCATCATCAGTAACAGCATCATCATCCGTAACAGCATCATCATCCGTAACAGCATCATCATCAGTAACAGCATCATCATCCTTAACAGCATCATCATCAGTAAGCATCATCATCAGTAACAGCATCATCATCCGTAACAGCATCATCATCAGTAACAGCATCATCATCCTTAAAAGCATCATCATCAGTAACACCATCATTATCAGTAACAGCGTCATCATCCGTAACACCGTCATCATCAGTAACAGCAACATCATCAGAAACAGCAACATCATCAGAAACAGCAACATCATCAGAAACAGCAACATCATCAGCAACACCATCATCATCAGTAACAGCATCATCATCCGTAACAGCGTCATCAGCGACAGTATAATTTATTATGAATGAAAATTTCAAACGGCTGACTTTGCGCGTAGGTTCACAGTATTACGATTCATAATAGCGACGATCTGACCGAGTTCCCGCTGGGTCGTGAATGCCCTCCACCACCTGACACAGCCGAACAGCTTCGTTGCATCTAATTGATCTCCAATGCGATGCAAAGAGAGAGAGAGTTTGTGTCGTGTCGCTGCGGCTCATCCTGCGTAGCAGGAGCGCAGACCACAGCGGGTTTACGCTATGGCCTCAATGTATCTCTCGACTAGTCTCTGTGTATCTCTGTGAGTCTCCACGTGTCTCTCTATCTCTATAGGCCTCTATCTCTATGGGATTGCTGTGTGGTCTACAGTTTGTGTAGCATGTCCACAATCTCACTGCCGTGGCTGGTCATTAATGCATCTTTGTGAGTCTCTGAGTCTCTATGGGATTGCTGTGTGGTCCACAGTTTGTGTAGCATGTCCACAATCTCACTGCTGAGTTGACTGGTCATTAATGCATCTCTCTGGGTCTCTGTGAGTCTCTGTGGGATTGATGTGTGGTCCACAGTTTGTGTAGCATTTTCACGATCTCACTGCTGTGGTTGGTCATTAATGCATCTCTGTGAGTCTCTGTAAGTCTCTATGGTATTGCTGTGTGGTCCAAAGTTTGTGTAGCATGTCCACAATCTCACTGCTGTGGTTGGTCATTAATGCATCTCTGTGAGTCTCTGTGGGTCTCTATGGGATTTCTGTGTGGTCCACAGTTTGTGTAGCATGTCCACAATCTCACTGCTGTGGCTGGTCATTAATGCATCTCTGTGAGTCTCTGTGGGTCTCTATGGGATTGCTGTGTGGTCCACAGTTTGTGTAGCATGTCCACAATCTCACTGCTGTGGTTGGTCATTAATGCATCTCTGTGACTCTCTGTGAGTCTCTGTGGGATTGCTGTGTGGTCCACAGTTTGTGTAGCATGTCCACAATCTCACTGCTGTGGCTGGTCATTAATGCATCTCTGTGAGTCTCTGTGGGTCTCTATGGGATTTCTGTGTGGTCCACAGTTTGTGTAGCATGTCCACAATCTCACTGCTGTGGCTGGTCATTAATGCATCTCTGTGGGTCTCTGTGAGTCTCTTTGGGATTGCTGTGTGGTCCACAGTTTGTGTAGCATGTCCACAATCTCACTGCCGTGGCTGGTCATTAATGCATCTCTGTGGGTCTCTGTGAGTCTCTATGGGATTGCTGTGTGGTCCACAGTTTGTGTAGCATGTCCACAATCTCACTGCCGTGGCTGGTCATTAATGCATCTCTGTGGGTCTCTGTGAGTCTCTATGGGATTGCTGTGTGGTCCACAGTTTGTGTAGCATGTCCACAATCTCACTGCTGTGGCTGGTCATTAATGCATCTCTGTGGGTCTCTGTGAGTCTCTTTGGGATTGCTGTGTGGTCCACAGTTTGTGTAGCATGTCCACAATCTCACTGCCGTGGCTGGTCATTAATGTATCTCTGTGGGTCTCTGTGAGTCTCTATGGGATTGCTGTGTGGTCCACAGTTTGTGTAGCATGTCCACAATCTCACTGCCATGGCTGGTCATTAATGCATCTCTGTGGGTCTCTGTGAGTCTCTGTGGGATTGCTGTGTGATCCACAGTTTGTGTAGCATGTCCACAATCTCATTGCCGTGGCTGGTCATTAATGCATCTCTGTGGGTCTCTGAGTCTCTATGGGATTGCTGTGTGGTCCACAGTTTGTGTAGCATGTCCACAATCTCACTGCTGTGGCTGGTCCTTAATGCATCTCTGTGAGTCTTTGTCTATCTCTATGGGATTGCTGTGTGATCCACAGTTTGTGTAGCATGTCCACAATCTCATTGCTGTGACTGGTCATTAATGCATCTCTGTGGGTCTCTGTGAGTCTCTATGGGATTGCTGTGTGGTCCACAGTTTGTGTAGCATGTCCACAATCTCACTGCCGTGGCTGGTCATTAATGCATCTTTGTGAGTCTCTGTGAGTCTCTATGGGATTGTTGTGTGGTCCACAGTTTGTGTAGCTTGTCCACAATCTCACTGCCGTGGCTGGTCATTAATGTATCTCTGTGGGTCTCTGTGGGTCTCAATGGGATTGCTGTGTGATCCACAGTTTGTGTAGCATGCCCACAATCTCACTGCCGTGGCTGGTCATTAATGCATCTTTGTGGGTCTCTGTGAGTCTCTATGGGATTGCTGTGTGGTCCACAGTTTGTGTAGCATGTCCACAATCTCACTGCTGAGTTGACTGGTCATTAATGCATCTCTCTGGGTCTCTGTGAGTCTCTGTGGGATTGCTGTGTGGTCCACAGTTTGTGTAGCATGTCCACGATCTCACTGCTGTGGTTGGTCATTAATGCATCTCTGTGAGTCTCTGTAAGTCTCTATGGTATTGCTGTGTGGTCCACAGTTTGTGTAGCATGGCTACAATCTCACTGCCGTGGCTGGTCATTAATGCATCTCTGTGAGTCTCTGTGGGATTGCTGTGTGGTCCACAGTTTGTGTAGCATGTCCACAATCTCACTGCTGTGGTTGGTCATTAATGCATCTCTGTGGGTCTCTGTGAGTCTCTATGGGATTGCTGTGTGGTCCACAGTTTGTGTTGCATGTCCACAATCTCACTGCCGTGGCTGGTCATTAATGCATCTCTGTGAGTCTCTATGGGATTGCTGTGTGGTCCACAGTTTGTGTAGCTTGGCTACAATGCCACTGCCGTGGCTGGTCATTAATGCATCTCTGTAGGTCTCTGTGGGTCTCTATGGGATTGCTGTGTGGTCCACAGTTTGTGTAGCATGTCCACAATGCCACTGCCATGGCTCGTCATTAATGCATCTCTGTGGGTCTCTGTGGGTCTCTATGGGATTGCTGTGTGGTCCACAGTTTGTGTAGCATGTCCACAATCTCACTGCTGTGGTTGGTCATTAATGCATCTCTGTGACTCTCTGTGGGTCTCTATGGGATTGCTGTGTGGTCCACAGTTTGTGTAGCATGTCCACAATGCCACTGCCGTGGCTCGTCATTAATGCATCTCTGTGGGTCTCTGTGAGTCTCTGTCAGAACGATTAAAGGTATTTCTGTATAGGCTTAGTGCGGCTTGTAAGCGTATTATTAAATAATACATATTACAATTCCTAATAGGGGAAACACATACTAATTAACGGATTACTAATGTATCATATAACCACAATAACACACATTACAACTAATTACTAATCTACAACTCATTGCTAATCATAACCATTAACTGATCACCAATCGATTATATAATTACTGCACCTGAAATGAGTCAAATGATGACGTCACCATGCTGCTCAATTTAAGACCGGGAGCAAGTGGAGAGGGCTTTACCATTCTGGCGAATTGCCCGATGATGCTGGATGTAATTTACCAGCGAAACGTCGTATTCAAACTGTAAATGTTGTGGATTCACTCTTCAACACACCGGTGGGCTAAAGTAGTGAACTATTTGTCTTTTGTCAACGTGACACTTTTTTTTGCTGATTGGCCGTGGTCGGGTGGTGGAGGGTTACGACACATTTATAAATAATGCGATCTAACCCAAAAAACTTTATTATGAATAACATTGGTCGCGAAAGCCTACGTGTTAAAATGAGGAGGTGTTTACTCACCGATGCGTTGATCTGAAACTATGATGATCGGCGCCTCGATAAAGACAGCTGGGGACGGGTGGTGGAGGGCGTACCAACACAAGTGTAGTCAGGTCATTCCGTTGCCCATGCCAAAAATAAATCATGAATCATTACAAACGGTACGACGATGATGATGACAATCATGATTTTGCTGTTGCTGCTGCTGGCCACGATTGATGTTGTGCTTGTAATTATGATGACATGGTGATGATGATGATGATAACGATGGTTATGGTGATGATAACGATGGTGATCATGACGAATTGATAATAGGGTGGCAGGATAGTGGTGCAGTGGGTGACGCCTACACCTCACAGAAATAAGGGAGCCTGGGTTCAATTCCTAACTCTGGCCCCTTTCAGCGTGGAGTTTGTATGTTCTCCCCCTGTTTTGCAGCATGCGTATAGGAGTGTGAGACGGAGTGTGTGAGTGTATGCATGTGTGTGTGTGTGCGTGTATGAGTGAGCCTCAAATGAGTACCTGGTGCGGTGTATGGTGCTGTCCTTCATAGGTTCTCGCTAACAGCATTTGTCCCAACAGTCTGTCAATGCTATACGCGAATATTCTGTCTTCTTGGTATCAATGAAGCAGCTGCTGCTGATGTGGATATTGATGGTGATATTGATGAAAATTAAGCTGCTGCTGATGGTATTGATGGTGAAGCTGCTGCTGTTGCTATTGTGATATTGATGATGATGACGCTGTTGATCTTGATAGTGATGGTAACTTTGATTAAGCTGCTGCTGCTCATGATGATGGTATTGAAAAAGCTGCTGCTGACATTGATGATGATATTGATGATGAATCTGATGATGATGTTGATGCTGCTGATATTGATGCCGCTGATGATGATGCTGATGGTGATTCTGATTATGTGGATGCTGTTGCTGCTGATATTGATGATGCAGCTGCTACTGATGGTGATGATGATGCTGATGATGAAGCTGCTGCTGATGGTAATTCTGATGATGTTGATGCTTGACGATGAAGCGGTTGCTGATGGTGATGCTGCTGCTGATGATGATGCTGTTGATGATGCTGTTGATGATGCTGCTGATGATGCTGATGTTGATGATGATGCTGATGATGCTGATGTTGATGATGATGCTGTTGATGATGATGATGTTGTTGTTGATGATGCTGTTGATGATGATGCTGTTGATGATGATGCTGTTGATGATGATGCTGTTGATGATGCTGATGATGATGATGATGTTGCTGCTGTTACTGCTGTGTGCGTGGTGCAGTAGGCAGGCCAAGGCGAGGTACGCGTGTGAAGCGGAGCACGAAACGGAGCTGTCCTTCATGCCCGGAGACCTCTTCACCAACGGTAACGCGACGAGCCTCTGTCTGTGTGTGTGTCCCTGGGTGTGTGTCTGTGTGTGTCCCTGGGTGTGTGTCTGTGTGTGTCTGTGTGTGTGTCCCTGTGTGTGCATCTTTGTGTGTCTGTGTGCGTCTTTGTGTGTCTGTGTGTGTCCCTGTGTGTGTGTTTGTGTGTCTGTGTGTGTGTCTGTGTGTGTGTTTGTGTGTCTGTGTGTGTCCCTGTATGCGTGTCCCTGTGTGTGCATCTTTGTGTGTCTGTGTGTGTCCCTGTGTGTGTCTTTGTGTCTCTGTTTGCATCTTTGTGTGTCTGTGTGTCTGTGTGCGTGTTTGTGTGTCTGTGTGCAACTTTGTGTGTCTGTGTGTGTCCCTGTGTGTGTGTATTTGTGTGTCTGTGTGTGTCTGTGTGTCCCTGTGTGTGTGTGTTTGTGTGCGTCTTTGTGTCTCCCTGCGTGTCTGCGCGTGTGTGTATTTGTGTGTGTGTCCCTGTGTGTGCGTGTTTGTGTGTCTGTGTGCGTGTTTGTGTCTGTGTGTGTGTCCCTGTGTGTGTGTGTGTTTGTGTGTCTGTGTGCGTCTTTGTGTCTCCCTGCGTGTCTGCGCGTGTGTGTGGGGAGCGGTAGTGGTAGTGGTTAGCTCGCCGCGCTACGAACCCGGCGACCCGAGTTCGATTCCCGCTCACGGCCCACACCGGTGACGGTTATCTGAACCGGTCCTGGGCCTCTCCCTACTCAAATGAGTACTCGGTGCGACGTGTAAACTTTAAAACTCGGGAGGCAAAGGCCGCTGGCCACCAGCGCCCTCGTGTGCCGTGCCGGCCTTCATCCGCGCAGCTGCTAGCGAACAGCACTTGGCCCCCAGGAGTCTGTTGAAGGCTATACGGGGGACCTTTGTCTGTGTGTGTGTGTGTGCGCGCAGTGCACAAGTCCCGTGAGCCGGGGTGGCTGGAGGCGACGCTGAACGGGAAGACCGGGCTGATCCCACAGAACTACGTAGACCTGCTCTGAGTGGCCGGCACACACAGGTGCACACACACAGGTGCACACACACAGGTACACACACACAGGTACACACACACAGGTGCACACACAGGTGCACACACACAGGTACACACACACAGGTACACACACACGTGCACACACACAGGTGCACACACAGGTGCACACACACAGGTGCACACACACAGGTGCACACACACAGGTGCACACACAGGTGCACACACAGGTGCACACACAGGTGCACACATAGGTGCACACATAGAGGCGTCACCACACCTGTACACACACATAGAGGTGTCACCACACCTGTACACACACACACAGAGGGGTCACCACACCTCTACACACACAGGCGTCACCACACCTGTACACACACGGAGGGGTCACCACACCTGTACACACATAGAGGGGTCACCACACCTGTACACACACGGAGGGGTCACCACACCTCTACACACACAGAGGGGTCACCACACCTGTACACACACATAGAGGGGTCACCACACCTGTACACACACAGAGGTGTCACCACACCTGTACACACACATAGAGGGGTCACCACACCTCTACACACACAGAGGGGTCACCACACCTGTACACACACAGAGGTGTCACCACACCTGTACACACATAGAGGCGTCACCACACCTGTACACACATAGAGGTGTCACCACACCTGTACACACACATAGAGGTGTCACCACACCTGTACACACATAGAGGGGTCACCACACCTCTACACACACAGAGGGGTCACCACACCTGTACACACATAGAGGCGTCACCACACCTGTACACACACAGACGTCACCACACCTGTACACACACAGAGGGGTCACCACACCTGTACACACACATAGAGGTGTCACCACACCTGTACAGAGAGAGGTCACCATACTCTGTAGAACAAGGGCGGATGACATCATTAAATGCTGCTATTATCGTGACGACGACGACGACGATGACGACGCTTCGACAAATCTTTTCCGCCCGCCGTGCCCCAGCGCTCCGCCGCCGCTCCGCCCGGGGACGGAGGCCCGGTTCGGGATCCCCGGGTGACATTTCGGACGCGGTGGGCCGCCGACGCAACGGCGGAACGCCCCTCCCGCCCAACTTCGGAATTTCGCCCGAGGGTTTCCCTCCGCACGAGCCTAGCCCGTCGCCGCTTCTCCTCCTCCTGCCCACGCTCGGCTGATCGCTTTCTCTCAACTGTGAAGTTTGTCGCCGGCACGACGTCGGCGGCATCAGCGGCCGCGCCGTCATCCGGCGGCGTCACCGCGGCGCTCGTGCCAGGCTGGGTGCGCTTCACGAAGCCGGCGCGGCGAGCGGCGAAGGCTCGCTCGCTCGCTCGCCGGCCGGCGAGAGAGGGAGGTCACGGGGAGCAGACCCGGCAGGTGGCCGCGGGCTCACCCACCGAGGTGACTGCTGGCAGACGCACAGCCAGCTGCCGCTCCCGGACTCTGGCTGCGTTTTATCCGCCCCGCTCGTTGTTGTGAGCGTCGCTTCCTCCGCCCTCCGTTGTTGCCGGAGGGGCGACCGCCTCCAGCTGCCCAGCAGCAGCAGCAGCGTCCTTCACGAGCCTCCTCCTCCTCCTCCTGCTCCACAGAGGACGAACTTGACGGCTGCTGATCATCGGCGCCACGTCCTCCTGCGTGTGCATCAGCCCATCTCCTCTCCAGCCCGTGCCGACACATGAGACCACAAAGACAAAGGTCTCCCTCATAGCCTATTCAGGTTGTTTGGGGCAAGTGCTATTAGCAAAGGCTGGGGTGGTCAGTACCACGCCAGACTACATTTGTTTCACGAGTGGCGATGTGCAGTTTGTTTCCCTTACCCCCTCCCCCCCCGCACCTCCGATTAGCACGGTTGGCTACGTATGGTGCAAAAGAAGTTCAACACGCAGATACACACACACACGTACACACACGTACACACACACACGTACACACACGTACACACACACGTACACACACACGTACACACACACACGTACACACACACGTACACACACACACACGTACACACACGTACACACACACACGTACACACACACACGTACACACACACACGTACACACACACGTACACACACGTACACACACACGTACACACACACACGTACACACACACACGTACACACACACGTACACACACACACGTACACACACACACACGTACACACACACACGTACACACACACACACGTACACACACACACGTACACACACACACACGTACACACACACACGTACACACACGTACACACACACACGTACACACACACACGGACACACACACACGTACATACACACACGTACACACACACACACACGTACACACACACACACGTACACACACACACACGTACACACACACACACGTACACACACACACACACGTACACACACACACACGTACACACACACACGTACACACACACGTACACACACACGTACACACGTACACACGTACACACACACACACGTACACACACACACACACGTACACACACACACACGTACACACACGTACACACACACGTATACACACACACGTATACACACACACGTATACACACACACGTACACACACACGTACACACGTACACACGTACACACACACACACGTACACACACACACACACGTACACACACACACACGTACACACACGTACACACACACGTATACACACACACGTACACACACACACGTACACACACACACGTACACACACACGTACACACACACGTACACACGTACACACACACGTACACACACACGTACACACACGTACGTACACACACCACCACCACCACCACCTAGCCAGGCACTCATTTGAGGCCCCAGCACTGCTTCAAACAAGCTCCGCTTATTGGTCGTGAACGGGAATCGAACCCGGGTGGGGTGGGGTGGGATGGGGGTCACCAGTGCCGTGGACACAGTGCGCAAATGACGAGCCAAGCACGACGCCACCGCTACCCAGCACGCGCACGACCCCAGAGGGACCTCCGCTCCATCCGGCAGCGTCGGCAGGCTCCTCATCAGTCACGATCAATCCGCTGCTGGATAGAGCGTTGGGGGAGTTGGCGCCAATCGTCGTCCGCTGCAAGTGGCCGCGTCCCGCGAGTACCCCCTACCCCCCCCCCCCCACACACACTTCACCCCACCACAACATCGCCGCTGGGGAGACAAAGGCGGCCGGGCGCGGCGCTGGCCACCCACCAACGTCGTGTGCCGTGCCGGGCTTCGTAGGCAGCGCTACTGCTGCTGCTGCTCGCTAGCAGCGCTTGCTCCGAACAGTCCGTTGTGTCTGTGTGTGTGTACCGGGGGGGAGGGGGAGGAGGGGGTGGGGTGGAGATCTTTGACTTTTGTCCGTGTCCCTGAATCGTGCGGCTCGAGAGAGGAGAGAGAGAGAATGATCTAAATGTTGAGACACGAGTGGGGGGGAGGAGGGGGGTGCCGGGTGGTTCGTTTTACCGCTTTGTTAACGACACTGCATTTCTCGTTCTTGATTTACTGTTGTGAATACACTGTGTGTCCTGCATGCGTATGTACGCACGTACGTGCATGCGCGCGGACGTACGTGCCGACGTTTTAAATGCTGTAGGGAGGAAAACAAAAAACACATACGAATCTTATATATGTACATTGGTTGTTGTTGTTGTGAGTAAACGCCGGATGGCGCCGCAGTGGAGTTGAGCGGCCGACGGAGCGGACTCGCGATCAGGAGGCCGCCGGATCCGTTCCCGTCTTGCCGCGGGGGGAGCGCCGATGATACGGTTAGGAGCGCGGTTAGGGGGCGGTCGGCGTCGGAATTTAAAATTGCATGGCGGGACGGTGTTCGGCTTGAGTTGAGGGGTTTAACGCAACCCTCGGTAAGGTGCGAGGTTCAGGTTGTTATGCTTTCAGGTAAAAAAAAAACACACACGCGCATGCACGCACGAGTCCTTCAGTATTGTCCACAGCCCATTTGAAATGATCTCTTAATTGCTGTGATGGTAACTGCAACCACCAAAAATCCAGTCAACAGCATCAATTATTTTTAGTTGTTCGTCTTACGCTTGGGTTTACCCTCTCCCCCCCCACTCCCTTCTTAAGTCTTACCGAGTCTCAAGGACCCTTCGTGAAGAGAGGGTTGTGTGTGTGTTTGTGTAGTCAAAGCCAAGTGTGGTTGATGTTAGTGTGTGGGTAACTCCCATGGTGGGTTCATGGGACCCACCATGGGACCCGCTGCACCTGCTGGGCCTGCCCCCGTGACCTCCTGCCAGCGGGCGTTCGACACTTCACGTGGTGGCCTCAAGGTGCACATGGCCTGGCACGAGCGCCGTGGTGACGTCACCGCCACTTAGTGGCGAATGGCGGTGGGTTGTTGTTGTTGTAACTCCTATCTGGCCAGCGTGGAAGAGTAGGCCAAGTAACCCTCTACGCCAGTGGTTCTTAACCTTTCCCGCAGCCCTTTGGTTCTCAGAAAGGGCATCTCCGACTGGCTCCCAGGGGGTGCCTGCAACCCCTGGTTGAGAAAAAAGAATGACTGCTCCACGCAAAGCACTTGCTTGCGTGGAGCGGCGTGATGATTTATCGGCCTCTGCGAGTTCCACGGATCCGGAGTTGAGGCGTTAGAGCGTGGTGGTAGCGAAATGTTAACTACCTCGCCTGGTATGCAGGAGGTAGTGGGTTCGATTCCGACCCCGATGCCTGCTGTATATTTTGGAGTTTGCGTGTCTCTCGCTCGCTCTCCGTGGTGAGATGTTAACTACCTCGCCTGGTATGCAGGAGGTCGTGGGTTCGATCCCGACCCTGACGACGCCTGCTGCTGTATATTTGGAGTTTGCGTCTCTAAAATATAGAATCGTTACGCTTAATCTTGGAAGACCAAATATATATGTGTCGCAGCTGGCTGGAGTTGTTGATCTTAAAACACACGTGGTTCATACACTGTATGCTGAAGTTAGTATTGTAGGCGTCTCTCTTATCGCTTTATGATGTTAAGAGAATTCCATTAAAAGAAAATGATTTTGTATATGATCAAACAAAAAAAACAACCCTTGTACATACGTTTTATTACGCTTGTGTAAAGTTTATAATTGTACGTTTTAAACATCGCAATTTCAAATCGGATTGCCCCGTCACTTTTGTTGTTATTGGTTTAAACAAAAAAAAAACGAATACGTTAATTTATAATAAATATGGTAAGGAGTTGTAAATGCGTCATTGCGTTTAGTTTTTATACGCGCCACCACCATCGGCCATGGTCGGGATCCACTGCTGGATGAATTGTAATCGCAATGTCAACTCGCGACACTGTTCTGCCACCCTCACGGTCGTATCCACTCATCGACTCGCACGGAACGGGAGTGTGGAACGGATGGAGAACACATTCTCCTGCGGAAGGAGCCGGTAGGAACGTTGGGGTTGCTCGGTCAATGTCCAGGGTCAGCAACGGCGGCACCACGTGGTGTGTTCAGCACAATATGCCCGACTGTGAGGGACGGGCACAAGCCGGCGTGAGTAGGTTAAACGTTGAGTTTTATAAGGGCACCACGGGGTGAGCAGCCCCTCCCCACCCCTCCCATTTTTGGATGCACGACGGACGGACGGACACAATAATCCCCGTGTGAGCTGCTGGTGGTGTAGTAACCGGGAGGTTCCTACACAGTATTAGTCCACACACTGCTGTACCCGCTTGCTCGTTGAACTGCCTTCGAGAGCCATTTGGGATGTGGCTACGTGCCGTCTCTGCCTCGTTCGGGGAAGAACGAATGGAAGGAACCCGGAAAGAGAGGAAGACGTCACGATGGCATCGTACGACATCGGTGGCAGAAAGATGTGTGGGGCCACGACTCGAGTCTTATCGGCACTCCCAAGACTGAGGGAAGTGGGGAAAAAAATTAAATGTCGCCGTGAACACCAACTCCTTACGGGGGCCATCTGCGCGTGGATCGTGGTGATGTTTCCGCCGCTAGAGGGCGTACGATGCCCGGCTTACCATAAGTTACTCTTTGGTTCTTGCGGTAAAGTAACGTAGAAAGAAAAGAAAATAACTAATAGAATGCGACGTTTCGATTGCAACACAAGCAGCCGTCGTCAGGTGTCAATGCAGGCTAGGAGAGACACATAGAGAGACAGAGAGAGAGACCCACATGGGGGAGAGACAGAGAGAGAGACAGAGACAGAGACCCACATGGGGGAGAGACACACAGAGACACATAGAGAGAGAGAGACCCACATGGGGGAGAGACACAGAGAGAGACACACAGAGAGACAGAGACAGACCCACATGGGGGAGAGACACAGAGACAGACACAGAGTGAGAGGCACACAGAGAGAGACAGAGAGAGACCCACATGGGGGAGAGACACAGAGAGAGACAGAGAGAGACCCACATGGGGGAGAGACACGTAGAGAGACACAGAGAGAGACATACACAGAGACACAGAGAGAGAGAGGCACACAGAGAGAGAGACAGAGAGAGACCCACATGGGGGAGAGACATAGAGACACAGACAGAGAGAGAGAGACCCACATGGGGGAGAGACACGTAGAGAGACAGAGAGACACAGAGAGAGAGGCACACAGAGAGAGACAGAGAGAGACCCACATGAGGGAGAGACACAGATCTTGTCTGACGTGAGTTTAAATGTCTATTACACATTACAATGTTCTACATTACCGTAGTGCCTCGTGTGTGTGCGTTCGAATCTACGTAACGGCTACCGTCGGTCGTGACTGATATCTTAGCCGGTCCTGTTCCTCCCCGCGATCGACTCGGCCTGAAAATAAGTAGTACTTGGTGCGGTGTGTTGTGTACACTTCACCACTGGGGAGACAAAGGCGGCCGGGCGCGGTGCTGGCCACCCACCCCCTCGCGTGTCGTTCCGGCCTTCATAGGCGCTGCTCCTCGCTAACTGCACTTGCCCCGACAATCTGTTAGGGCTACACGGGGGACCTTTGTATATTGTGGATGTGAACTCACCACCCTCCAAATCGCGAGCCACTCCCTCCGCCGGCCGAGTCTGCGTGGATTTAATGATTTTGTGCATCGGCGGAGCCATTGAACATTGAAAAACCCCAACATCAAAACGAGTGATTGTAACAGCCAGACGGCTAGGATCACACGCACATTCCTATCTCGCACAGAGAAACCCATAGATTCACACAGAGAAACCCATAGATTCACACACAGACACATAGATTCACACAGACACACATTCACACACACACAGACTCACACACAGATTCACACAGACACATTCACACACACAGACTCACATAGATTCACACAGACTCGCACACAGACACAGATTCACACACAGACACATAGATTCACACACAGACACATAGATTCACACACACACAGATTCACACACAGACACAGATTCACACACAGACACAGAATCACACACACAGATTCACACAGAATCACACACACACACAGAATCACATACACAGACACACATATTCACACAGACACACAGATTCACACACAGACCTTTCGACCCAGAGGTGCATAGGTTCAAATAGAGACCCACAGACTCACACACAGACCCATAGATTTGCACAAAGACAGACTCGCACACAATCCTATAGAATCAGAGACATCGGTTCAAAACAGACTCGCATAGACTCAGAAACCCACTCACACAGAGACCCACAGACTCACACACAGGTCCACACAGACCCAAAGACTCAGAGACCCACAGACTCACACACAGGTTCACACAGACCCACAGACTCACACATAGGTTCACACAGACCCACAGACTCACACACAGGTTCACACAGACCCACAGACTCACACACAGGTTCACACAGACCCACAGACTCACACACGGGTTCACACAGACCCACAGACTCACACACAGGTTCACACAGACCCACAGACTCACACACAGGTTCACACAGACCCACAGACTCACACACAGGTTCACACAGACCCACAGACTCACACACAGGTTCACACAGACCCACAGACTCACACACGGGTTCACACAGACCCACAGACTCACACACAGGTTCACACAGACCCACAGACTCACACACAGGTTCACACAGACCCACAGACTCACACACAGGTTCACACAGACCCAAAGACTCAGAGACCCACAGACTCACACACAGATCCAGAGACAACACCATGCACAAACACCAACACCACCACTGAGGCATTTGAGTGCACGTGCGGTTTTAATGCAAGTATAGTATACAGTACTACGGGCGATAAGGCAATTCATTCTCATAGTCGCACTGACACTGAAACGCCCACATTCCTATGGCAGGGCCCAGTCTGTCCGTAACAGCAGGGACCGCTTAACTTAAAGTCAATCGGTGCTACTTGATTTATCGACCGCGAGGGGCTGGGGGGGGGGTGATGATGGTGATGACACACATGATGTTGATACTGCTGATACTGCTAATTAATGCTGTTGCCACTGATGCTGCTGTTGCTTTATGATGACGCTCATGATACTGCTGATGGATACTGCTGCTGCTGATATTGCTGTTTGTGATCGATGTTACGGATGTTGCTGATGCTACTGCTGATGCTACTGCTATTGCCAATTCTACTCCAGATGGTGCTGCTGCTGCTGATGATTATTACAAAGACGGTGGGGTCACCGCATGGCTCGCTTTCAGACGGGCCGTCTGGAACGCTCTCTCCCTGCCGATGTGAGGAAGCCAACGGAGTTCAAACTCATTTGTTTACAACTCGAACTCGCGTTCCTGCCGTGTTCCAGTTTGTTGTTGTTGTCCTTGCTGGCTACGTACGCTGCGGGACAAGTTCCAACGTGCGTACAGATCTGATGATGACACTGCTGCTGCTGCTGTTGGTGATGACGATGATGGGGCGAGAGGCGGGGGGGGGGCGAGAGGGGGGGGGGGGGGCGAGAGAGGAGGGTAGGGGGGGTAACGGGGAGGGGGGGTAACCATTGCAGTTACCGGCCCATGCACGATCCACCAATCGGTCACGAGCATCGGCCCCGGAGTGACTGGCGACTCCCTCATTGACTGAGCCCCCCCCCACAGAGCCACCCCCCCACGACGCCGCCTCTCTCAGTCGCCTCCTCCACTACCACCGTCGTCAACGTCCCCCCCTCCTCTGGTCGTCATTGCCCCGGCGACGTCGGTTGCCGCGGCGGCGTCGGTTGCCCCGGCGGCGTCGGTTGCCGCGGCGGCGTCGGTTGCCCCGGCGACGTCGGTTGCCCCGGCGACGTCGGTTGCCGCGGCGGCGTCGGTTGCCGCGGCGTCGGTTGCCGCGGCGACGTCGGTTGCCGCGGCGACGTCGTCAAAGATGAGGTCTTCGGGGTTTGGCGCGGCGGGACAGAAATCCTGATCCGGACAAATCTTGCGGAAGATGTCCTCCGCCTGAAACGGGGGGGTGGTGATGTTGGCGATGGTAGGTTGTGTTGGTGGTGACGGTGATGGTTAGACAAACTGTGTGGCAGTCCCACACCACACACGCCCGCACACATGCACGTGCACACAACAACAACAACCGCCATTCACCACTAAGTGGTGGTGACGTCATCACGACGCTTGTGCCAGGCTATGTGCACCCTGAGGCCACGTGAAGTGTCGAATGCCCGCTGGCAGGAGGTCACGGGGCAGACCCAGGTGCCACGGGTCGACTGACTGAGATGACTGGCTGATGCACCACCTGTGCCCCCTACTGTGCCAACCTGCTGTGCTTTAGCCACCCGGCGCTCCGCTCGTTCTGAGCGTCGCTCCTCCGCCCTCCGTTGTTGTTGGAGGGCGACTGCCTCCAACTGCCCAGTAGCATCCTTCACGAGCCTCCTCTACAGAGGCCGATCTTGACACCGCTGGTACCAGTCATCGGCAAGTCCACTCAGCTCCACGTCCTCCTGTACCACATCACTCCATCTCTTCTCTAGCCTGTGCCGCGCCCGTTTAGCCCCCTCAATCCGGCCGAACAAAAGCTGTTTAGGCATGCGGTGGCTGGGCATGCGGGCTACATGACCCAGCCATCGCAGCCTTGCCCGCCGGAGGAGCTCACCGATGGGACCTTGCCCAGATCTTTCAAGGATTTTTGAGCTCCTCACACAATCCAGTCTGGTTAAACCCAGGATGGATCGTAGGCAGGCCAGCCTAAATGTTTCTAACCGGCGAAGATGCTCCATTAGGGGGGTCCGCGTTTCGCAAGCGTAGAGAAGGGAGGGAATGACCGTGGCCGAGCAGACCTGAAGCTTAGTGCGGAGCGACAGACCAGGTAGCTTTCACACAGCGTTACGCAACCGATGAAAAGATATTGCCGCTCGACTGATTCGGAGTGAGACCTCTGCTGTTAAACTGGAGCCGGTCATAAGCACACTGCCCAGGTATGGGAAACTCTCCACTTGCTCCACAACTGCCCCATCACCGATTGGGAGTTGTGGGGGTGGAGTGTCCGATGGTACAAAATACCCAGGCAGGTGCTTAGTTTTGGTGGGGCTGATGGTAAGGCCCCATCTCTTAGTGGCAAGCTCCAGTCTCAGCAGCAGCATCTCCAACTCCTCCTCTGAATGAGCAGCTATTACCAAATCATCAGCATACATAACGTGGTTGATCAATAGGGAGCCATCCCTTGACCGCACCCGGGCATCGATCAGCCTCTCATTATACCTGTACCATATGGAGATTTCCCCGGTACAGCTATTGAAGGCTTCACGAACTACGTGGTCAAAATAGATGTTAAATAATGTGGGAGCCAGAGGACATCCCTGTCGCACCCCAAGGTGTACAGGGAATGGCTCTGACTCCCGGCCACGTAGTTTTACCCGGGCCCGCTCACCATCATGAAGGTCCTTAATGATCGTGAGCAGAGGGTCAGGTACTCCAAAAGCACGAAGAACAACCCAGAGCCCAGGCCTACTGATGGTATCATAGGCCTTGACCAGGTCAATAAAGCAGAGATGTAGGTCTTTTTGGAATTCCCTACACCTCTGCTGTAGCAGACGGACAAAATATGGCATCTGTGCAGGACCGCCCTTTCCTGAAACCGCATTGGGGCTCCGCAAGCCTCTCCTCAGCGTGCCTGGCAAGGCGATGCTGAATAATCCTTGCCAGGACCTTTCCCGGCACACTGAGGAGTGAAATGCCTCTGTAGTTGTTACAGTCTGTGCGGTCCCCCTTCTTAAAAAGGGGGACCACCAGGGCATCCTTCCAATCCTGCGGAACCCGTCCAGTGGTCCAGACCGTTGTTATGATGTTATATAGGGCAGTCTGCGCACACACGCCACCCTCCCTCAGCATTTCGCTTGGGAGATCATCTCTGCCCGCTGCCTTTCCTGGTCTCAGACTCCGGATCGCCCTCAGTACTTCCTCAACAGATGGCACCTCAGCCAGCCACTCACAGGGGGTGACTTCTTCCAATATTTGAGGCACCGCAGCCTCAGCAGGGTCATCCTCACTTTGTGCCATGATGTTTTCCTGGCTGAGGGATTTTCCCTCCCCCAGGACCTCACAGAAATGCTCAGCAAATCTGCAAACCTGTTCCTGGGGGTCAGAGATTGGATCACCGTTTTTTCCCCTAATGATGGTAATAGGTGTGGCGCTGCAGGCTACTTTTTTGATGGAGTTAAATAGAGATTTGTGATCACGGGCCACTGAGGCAGACTCCATCTCCTCAGCAACCCGCGACCACCACCCATCCTTGCAGCACCTCACGGCTCTCCGAACCTCCGAGCGAAGGCTGCGGTAAGCCTCCTTATTCTCTGACGTGGGATTCTGTAGCTGATGACAGTGGGCCTGTCGCTTTTTCTCAACCATCCTGAACACCTCCTCTGTCAGCCAGGATCTCTGGGGAGGTCTGGACCGCGTACCCAAAGCAGCCATTGCAGCTGCATGAGTCACATTCCTAAACCTGGCCCATTTGCCCTCAACATCAGGAGGAGTCGGGGACGATGCCAATCCCAGCCGCAAGCGATGATGAAATTCTTGCTTGCAACTTTCATCAGATAACTGAGACCAGGCTACTTTAGGTTGGAATGGGGTCCTGGGTGTACACCCACCACCGGAGTGGAAGAATGGCAGGCGCATCTTACAGATGACTAGTCGATGGTCAGAGGGCAGATAAGCTCCACGGTAGGTCCTGGTGTCAAGGACATGGGCTCGCATCCGCTGGTCCGTCACTATGTAGTCCAGCAGATGTTTTTGCTTGGACCCTGCATGCATCCATGATGTTGTGTGGATGCGCCGATGCCGGAACAGCGTGTTGGTAATTACAAGCCCATGGGCTGCACAAAAATCTAGCAGCCTCCTACCGTTGTTATTGAGCTGATCTGGCCCATGCCCTCCAATCACTCCAGACCAGGTGCCAGCATCATGACCAACTCGGGCATTGAAGTCACCCAACATGATGACTCTATCCCGAGGGGCCACTTTAGCCAGCACCTGTGACAGGAGGTCATAGAAGGCATCTGACTCATCGGCTTTGCCTGCATCTCTCCACGGATGTTCATCTTTGGTGGGGGCATAAGTAACCACGACCACCATTCCTCGCCTCCAGTTGATGGGAAGGCGAGCCCAAAGTAGCCTGGGGCTAACAGCTTCCCACACCTCATCGCCATGCTCCCACGCCCCCTTCATTCTTTTGTTCAAAAGAAGAGCCACACCCTGTTGTTTGGCAGTCTGCTGCCCCGAGTAGAGGACTGTCCACCCCTCATGGTGGCAGGAGCCAGAACCGGTCCACCAGACCTCCTGAATGCCACATAGATCCAGGCGGTACCGGTCCAGCTCCCGACAGAGAAGTGGCAGCCTCTCCTCCGCAGTGAGCGTTCGAACATTCCACGTGGCCACCCGTAGTGGTTTTTCGTTGTTTCTGGAGGAGCCCCGAGGGTAGATATTCAATCTTCTGGCTCCGCCAATTGGGGTTTGGCCAGGAGAGACGTCATAGACGCCTGGCACCCCGGGGCCTCCGGCACAAGCTTATTAGTTATATATTTCAGTTTAACTCGTGGTTTAGTGATAATTAATTGAAGGTGGAGGGGTTACCAGCCCCTCGCACCCGTCCAGAGCCCCCGTTTAGCCCCTGTGGTGGACACAGATGCCATGAGGGGGGGGGGGAGCCAATCGAAATTGGACCTCCCCCCACAGCACTGTCCACGACAGAGTTGCCCGTCCGGCACCGCGAGGAGGTAGGGGGCTGTTTTGCACACACACACACGCAAACACAAACACACGCAAACACATGCACATGCACACACGCGCACCAGAGAGCGACCAACCTGCTTGACTGCCGAGTCGCAGTCCATGCTTGGTCCGGGGCCCGAGCAGAGATGGAGGTTGGGTGGCAGCACGGGGGTAGTTGAGAGTCCTGGAGTCCCCTCGCTCCCCTCGCTGCCCCCGTCCCGCAAAGTGAAGTAGAGCGCCATGAGCACGCGAGGTCTCAGCGCAAGGCCGGCGTCCGCTCCCGGCGCTGCAAAGACAAAGGTCCCCACCCGCCGATAGCCTCTAACGGACTATTTGGGGCAAGTGCTGTTAGCAAGCACCACACACAAAGACAAAGATCCCCCGTATAGCCGTTATTAACTATTGGGGCAAGTGCTTTTAGCAAGGAGCACCTTTGAAGTCTGGCACGGCACACGAAGGGGTGGGTGGCCAATACCACGCCTGGCCGCCTTTGTCTCCCCAGTGCTGGCAGTTATCACACTACGTACTGCGAGTCTACGGGTCTCTGTGCGAGTCTACGGGTCTCTGTGGGAGTCTACGGGTCTCTGTGTGAATCTACGGGTCTCCCTGTGTGAGTCTACGGGTCTCTGTGCGAGTCTACGGGTCTCTGTGGGAGTCTACGGGTCTCTGTGTGTCTATGGATCTCTGTGTGTGTCTACAGGTCTCTGTGTGTGTCTACGGGTCTCTGAGTCTATGGGTGTGCGAGTCTGTGTCTCTGTGCGAGTCTACGGGTCTCTGTGTGTGTCTACGGGTCTCTGTGTGTGTCTACGGGTCTCTGTGTGTGTCTACGGGTCTCTGTGCGAGTCTACGGGTCTCTATGTGTGTCTACGGGTCTCTGTGCGAGTCTACGAGACCCGCGGTGCAATCGCCGTGGTTGGGGCCACGACCTGGGTTGGAACCGAGGCCCTCGACCGTTGCCGGCTCAGCGTCTCTCTCGTTGACCTCCCAGTCACCCTCCCCCCCCCTCCCCCCCGGGGGTGTCCCCGCCCTCGAATTTTCGTTGAAATTAATTCTCTTGAAGTCCACAAAGAGGGGCAGTCAGGCCGCGCCGTGATTGATCACTCAGTCGCTCGTAATAACGGCAGCGGTGGCGGCAGTGGTGGTGGTGGTAGTGGTGGTGGTGGTGGCGGCAGTGGTGGTAGTGGTGGTGGTGGCAGTGGTGGCGGCAGTGGTGGTAGTGGTGGTGGTGGTAGCGGTGGTAGTGGCGGTGGTGGTAGCGGTGGTAGTGGCGGCAGTGGCGGTGGTGGCGGCGGCGGCAGTGGCGGTGGTGGCAGTGGCGGTAGTGGCGGTGGTGTTGGCGGCGGCAGTGTCGCGGTCAGCGCCACGCTGCGCTACGATCCCGGCAGAGACCCGGGTTCGATTCCAGCTCGCGGGCAACACCGGTGACGATTATCTGAACCGGTCCTGGGCCTCCCACTAGGTCGACTCAGACTCAAATGCGTACCTCATGCCATGGTGCGCAGTAAACATCGCCACTGGGGAGACAAAGGCGGCCGGGCGTGGTGCTGGCCACCCACCTCCCCCCTCGTGTGCCGTGCCGGCCTTCATCGGCGCTGCTGCTGCCGCTCGCTAACAGCACTTTGCCCCGACAGTCTGCTAAGGCTATCGGGGGGACCTTTGTATTTGGTGGTGGTGGTGGTGGTGGTGCTCGCTCGCGCGGGGCAGACAGCTCACACACCTGGGGCGATCAGCGCCACACAAAGGGGTTCCTCTATTCCAGACGGCGGCTGCAGCCACCGCTGCCACCACCACCACCACCACCCCCATCGCCCGCCCACCCACCCACAGGACAAACCCAGGTGCCGTGGGGCTCGACCGTAGCTGTCCCAGCTGCGCCTCCCCCGTTGCGGCAACGCGCTGCGATTTATCCGCCCGGCGCGCCGCTCGTTGTTGTGAGCGTCGCTCTCCCGCCCCTCCGTTGTTGTTGGGAGGGCGACTGCCTCCGACTTGTACCCGGGACTAGCCTGGCACTGTCCTCCAGTAGCCTCCTCAAGGTGCACCTAGCCTGGCACTGTCCCCCAGTAGCCTCCTCAAGGTGCACCTAGCCTGGCACTACCCAGTAGCCTCCTCAAGGTGCACCTAGCCTGGCGCTGTCCCCAGTAGCCTTCTCAAGGTGCACCTAGCCTGGCACTGTCCCCAGTAGCCTCCTCAAGGTGCACCTAGCCTGGCGCTGTCCCCAGTAGCCTCCTCAATGTGCACCTAGCCTGGCACTGTCCCCCAGTAGCCTCCTCAAGGTGCACCTAGCCTGGCACTACCCAGTAGCCTCCTCAAGGTGCACCTAGCCTGGCGCTGTCCCCAGTAGCCTTCTCAAGGTGCACCTAGCCTGGCACTGTCCCCAGTAGCCTCCTCAATGTGCACCTAGCCTGGCACTGCCCAGTAGCCTCCTCAAGGTGCACCTAGCCTGGCACTGCCCAGTAGCAGCGTCCTTCAGGAGCCGCCTCCTCCTCCAAAGAGGCCGATCTTGACACCGCTGCTACCAGCCATCGGCAAGTCCACTCAGCTCTATGTCCTCCTGTACCACATCAGCTCCACCTCTTCTCCACCTCTTCTCCACCTCTTCTCCACCTCTTCTCCACCTCTTCTCCACCTCTTCTCCACCTCTTCTCCACCTCTTCTCCACCTCTTCTCCAGCCCGTGCCGTGCCCGTTCAGCCTACCCTCTATCCGACCGGAAAAAAAGCTGCTTGGGGCACGCGGTGGCTGGGCACGCGGGCTACGTGACCCAGCCGACGCAGCCTCGCCCGCCGGGGGAGCTCACCGACGGGAATGTGTCCAGACCTTCCAAGGTTTTGGATCTGAACGATGACGACGATGACGACGACCGATGGATGGTGTTCGTTCTGATGATCTCAACATCGGCCTCCTCCACAGAGGCCGATGTTGACAGTCGCTGGTACCGTCCACACGACCACCACCGCCCTTCATAAGAGGTTTTTTTTTTGTGGTCTCGCATAATGCGCATGCATCATGTACATTAACTCATCCCCCCCCAAGAGCACAGAAGTGTGGTGGTCTACGCATCTACGCCGCTATGTAAGGAAGGAAACAGGAGGACTTCTACACAGATCTGGCTATCGCCTGATGAAGCTGGTTGTAATTACTGGCGAAACGTCACGGCACTCAGATTGTAAATGTTGTTGGCTTGACTCTCCAACACACAACCGGTGTGCTGTACTAGTATACTACACTATACACTACACTACACACTACACTACACACTATACTACACACACCACACCACACACTACACACCACACTACACACCACAGTACACTACACACCACACTATACACTACACTATACACTACTATACACTACTATACACTACACTACTATACACTACACTATACACTAGTGCTGTACTAGTATACTACACTATACACTACTATACACTACACTACTACACACTGCACTATACACTACACTACTATACACTGCACTATATACTACACTATACACTACACTACTATACACTACAATACACTATAAACTACACTACTATACACTACACTACTATACACTAGTGCTTTACTAGTATACTGCACTATACACTACTATACACTACTGTACACTACACTACTATACACTACACTATACAATACTACACTATACACTACTACACACTACACTATACTATACAATAGTGCTGTACTAGTATACTACACTATACACTACACTACTACACACTGCACTATACACTACACTACTATACACTGCACTATATACTACACTACTATACACTACACTACTATACACTGCATTATACACTACACTATACACTAGTGCTGTACTAGTATACTACACTACTATACACTACTATACACTACACTAGTGCTGTACTAGTATACTACACTACTATACACTACACTACTATACACTACACTAGTGCTGTACTAGTATACTACACTATACACTACAATACACTATACACTACACTACTATACACTAGTGCTGTACTAGTATACTACACTATACACTGCACTATACACTGCACTACTACACTATACACTACACTGCACTACTACACTATACACTACACTATACACTACTACACTATACACTACACTATATACTACACTATACACTACTATACACGACACTACTACACTATACACTACACTATACACTACACCACTATACACTACACTATACACTACACTATATACTACACTATACACTACTATACACGACACTACTACACTATACACTACACTACTACACTACACTATACACTACTATACACTACACTACACACTACTATACACTACACTATACACTACTACACTACACACTACACTATACACTACTATACACTACACTATACACTACGATACACTACACTATACACTACACTATATACTACACTATACACGACACTACTACACTATACACTACACTATACACTACACTATACACTACACTAGTGCTGTGCTAGTGACGAATTGGCCACGTTCTGTTTACGTGACAACCCCTTACTAGTTGGCTGTGTCGGGTGGTGGAGGGTTTTAACGGCACAACATTCATACATTCACGCGATCCGACCCAAAACAAAACAAAAAACCCCTCTATTATGGATGACATTGGTCGCGAAAGCCTCCTGCCCTTCATACCGCTCACCCCACCCACACCGTTCTGTGACAGCACCACCAGTGGATGTCACCGTCTGCACAGTTATTAAATTGGTCCAAGGGGGCATTCTTTCGTGAATGCCCGAGATGCACGATTAATAATTTTGTTTTCATTATTATTTCCGTCTTCTTACTTTCTTGAAACTTTCGGGGGGGGGGGTAGTCTGGTGTTGTCTTTCAAGACCGAGGGAGTGAGGGAGGGAGGGAGGGGAGCGAGTTGTACCACAAAGATAAAGATCCCCCGTGTAGCCTACACGGGCTGTTGGGGGAAAGTGTTGTGAGGGAGTTGTGAACAGTGAAGGCCGTCACGGCACAGGAGGGGATGGTGTTGGCAGCACCGTGCCCGCCCGGCCGCCTTTGTCTCCCCAGTGGCGATGTTTACCACGCACCACACAAGGTACTCATTTGAGGCTGAGTCGACCTAGGGGAGGCCCAGGACCATTTGAGATAATCGTCACTGGTGGTGTCGGCCGTGAGTGGGTTTCGTAGCGTAGCGCTAGCCACGACACCACCGCTCCCCACAATCGACACAAACACACACACACTCACCGACACACACTCGCACACACCCTCACACACACACTCGCACACCCTCACACACACACACTCGCACACACCCT